TCCTGGTCTATATTGCCTGATCTAATTTTCGGCCCTTGACAATGCAACAGGTCTCCAATCCGGCCTCCTAGTCAAAATGTTTTGAGACACCTGCGCTAGAAGAACAAGTATAAAGTATAACATTTTTCGTCTTGTTTAGTACATCGCATAGTAGTAATTTAAGAATAAAACACTTTAGGTATTTTCATTTTTGTTTGGAATAATAACAATTTAAATGAACGACATGCTAAAGATGAATAGTCACATGAATTAGTTTTACATATGCGACTCGTCTGGTGTCATTTTAAAACAACACGGTATTGAGAGTCACCTCAGCCGAAATAGCGTAGATGCAACGAAAGGAATGTTCCCATGGCCAACTTTCTGGAACATTCCGTAAAATAAAGAGTTTTCAAAAAAATATAAAACTTAAAATAGAGTTGCGTTTTACAGGAACATTACGATATCTTATCAAGGAAACCGGCAAATATAATTTTATGGAGGTGGTGAATATGATTCAATTAAAAAAAACAGACAGATATATGTAGAGACGTGAATAAAAAGTGGAAGCCACTTACAACTCCCTGTAACGCCGAATTGGAGCGCAGCTCTTGAGGAGCAGGGAAGGGCGCTGGGGGGGGGTTAGACTAACCAGGGGGGGGTCACGTGACCTTGGGGGGTCACGTGACCCCCAATGCCGATGATGTCATCACTGACGTCACTGATGACGTCATTAGTGACGTCACTGATGACGTCATTAGTGACGTCACTGATGACTTCACCAGTGATGATGACGATGACGATGCGAATGTCGGTGACGTCATCAGTGACGTCGCTGACGACGTCATCAGTGATGATGACGATGACGATGCGGATGCCGGTGACGACATCAGTGACGTCACTGATGACGTCATCAGTGATGATGACGATGACGATGCGGATGTCGGTAACGTCACCGGCATCCACATCGTCATCGTCATCATCACTGATGACGTCACCGGCATCCACATCGTCATCGTCATCATCACTGATGACGTCACCGGCATCCACATCGTCATCGTCATCATCACTGATGACGTCACCGGCATCCGCATCGTCATCGTCATCATCACTGATGACGTCACCGGCATCCACATCGTCATCGTCATCATCACTGATGACGTCACCGGCATCCACATCGTCATCGTCACTGATGACGTCATCATCATTGATGTCATCATTGTGATAGTATTTACCTGATTGTACCGGTCGTACCGGGTATCAAGCAACACCACGTGTAGAACGTTTTGAGATCCCCTGGGCGCTGTGTCCTCTTCTTCCTCTGTTGTCCCCCTACTTGCCCCGTTTATTCGGACTTACAAAACAATATTATTACATCTCTTTTTCCCACGCAAAAGTCATTCGCCAAATCTTTTTGGTTTTCTTATGGTCCGTCCGGACCGGGTCTTTGGGATGTTTTCTTCTGTAGGAGGAACACTGAATTCTGGTGTGCTTGCTTCAGGATGTGTTTGGTCGGTTGGTTTGGGTTTGGTTGGAACCAGGTGATGTGTATTCCGGCGGAGATATCCTGACCTTGTCCTGATAGTGTAGGATCGAGGTTCTGGTCTCTTGCCCGTAATTGTTCCAGTTGCTTTGCTGTCTCTTACCCATACCTCGCTGCCGATATCTAACTCCTGTTTTCGGCACACTCCGTGTCTCTTGTCGTAGTTTTCCGCTTGCTTATTTTTTTCTTCTCGATCCTTCTTCCGGAACTCCTCATGGTTGGGCAGTTTTGGCAAGAGTGTAGAAGCCAATACTGGCAGTGTGGTTCGCAACTGCCTTCCCATCAGAAGCTGTGCCGGACTGTATCCAGAAGATCCTGGTGTTGTTCTGTAGACCAGTAATCCAAGCTCGGGATCTTGAGACTTCTTGATGATGTCTTTGGCTATCTTGACCATTCTTTCAGCTTCCCCGTTACTTTGCGGATAACGTGGACTGCTTGTAACGTGCTCGATCTTGTAATCCTTACAGAAGCCTTCGAATGGCTTGGAGCTGAATTGTGGACCGTTGTCTGACCGCAGAACCTCAGGTATTCCGTGACGTGAAAATAGAGCCTTGAGGTGTGATATGACTACTTCTGAAGTGGTTTGTCTCAGTCTGGTTATTTCCACGTACCTCGAGTAGTAGTCTACGACGAGCAAATATTGGGCTCCTTTCAACTCGAACAAATCGGTCCCAACTCGTTGCCATGGTCTCTCTGGTAGCTCAGACGCGATCATCGGCTGTGTTTTTGGTACCCGCTCGTGTGCGCAGCTGAGACAGTTTGTAACAGCATCAGCCATCTGAGAGCTTAGTCCTGGCCACCAAACTGACATCTTGGCTCGTTGCCGGCATCTCGAGATACCCTGATGGCCATCGTGCAGTCGGTGCAAGACTTGCTTCCTCATTTGACTTGGTATCACAAGGCGGTTGCCTCTCACGAGTAGGTTTTCTTGTACCGTGAGGTTGTGTCTTTCTTGGAAATATGGGGTGATCTCGATTGGCACTTGCTGCTTGCTAGTTGGCCACCCTTTTTCACAGTACTCCCTCACTTTAGTACAGACGGGGTCGTCCTCTTGCATCTTCTTTACCTCGATCAGGTACTCTCGGGATGCAGGGACTGACTGAAGGACGACTTGCACAAAAGCCTCGGTTTCTTCTTCCATATTGTCTGGAGGTTCAACAGGTGACCTTGACAGGGCATCGGCCGTCCAGAGTTCTTTTCCAGGCACGTGTGAGATTGTGTAGCATAATCTCATCAGCCGCAGTTTGAATCGCTGAACTCTGGCTGGGATCGCATCCAGCTCTTTGGACCCAAGAAGAGGTACGAGTGGACGATGATCTGTTTCGATGTGAAACTGCGTTCCTAGCAGGAACTTCTCGAATCGTTCACATGCCCAAGTCACGGCGTGCGCTTCTTGGGTCCAAAGAGCTGGATGCGATCCCAGCCAGAGTTCAGCGATTCAAACTGCGGCTTCTTTCAACGCGCCGTAACCGCAATGTGTTACTAGGCGATGCAGGCTAGTCATGAAGCTCTCAACAGATTCACCCGGCTCTTGTTTCTTCTGGTGGAATTTGGCCCGTTCGCAGATAACGTTTCTCTTGCCGACAAAGTGGCTTTCGAAGAGTTGGGCAACTGCTTCGAACTGTCGCTGTTCGGTGTCGGTCAAAGCCGAGGCGGACAAAATGTCTTCCGCGTCCTCACCGAGAAAGTAGATTAATGCGTCTACTTTCGATCCTTCGTCTTCTTTATCGAGTTTTGAAACTCTACGGTACCTGTTAAAACGGGTGATCCACCTTGGCCATTCTTCTGGGCGCTTGAAATCAAAGGCTGCCGGCGCCGTGAAACCCGTTGCTAGCAGTGTTGTTGGGGGCGTTACGTTCTCCGAGTTCGATGAAGCTTCCATTTCTGGAGCACTTCTGACACCATGTGGTAGTATTTACCTGATTGTACCGGTCGTACCGGGTAACAAGCAACACCACGTGTAGAACGTTTTGAGATCCCCTGGGCGCTGTGTCCTCTTCTTCCTCTGTTGTCCCCCTACTTGCCCCGTTTATTCGGACTTACAAAACAATATTATTACAATCATCACTGATGACGTCACCGGCATCCACATCGTCATCGTCATCATCACTGATGACGTCACCGGCATCCGCATCGTCATCACTGATGATGACATCAGTGATGATGACGATGACGATGTGGATGCCGGTGACGTCATCAGTGTCGATGACGTCATCGGGGGGTCACGCGACATCGGCGGGGGTCACGTGACCTCGGGGGGGTCACGTGACCTCGAGGAGGGGGTCACGTGACCTCAGGGGAGTCACGTGACCTCGAGGGGGGGGGGTCACGTGACCTCAGGGGAGTCACGTGACTTCGGGGGGTCACGTGACCTCGGGGGGGTCACGTGCCTCCCCACGAAGTCACGTGACCCCGGTGGGGGGCTCGCGCGGTGCATTATGGGATATTTCCCATGATGCACTGCGCGGTTACGCCGACGGCGACGGCGACGGCGACGGCAACGCCGACGCCGCTCAAGCCGGAAACGGGCCCCTAAGAGCTGCGCTCTAAAAACAACACCCGCCCAAATTTTCATTTACTTCCTATTGATATTTGGGACTGTCATATAAAATATTCAAAGGGAACATTTGATGCTTGTTGTTGAGCTGAAATTCACATTTTAGTGCACGCGCCGGGGCGTGGATGTCCAAGAAAGTTGAGTATGTTTGGGTGATATGATCTTGTAGTACTTTACTAGATCGATATTCTAAATCTCTTTAAGACATATTAGAACGTCGTTTCGGGGAGTGAAAGATATTGTTGATTAATTTCTCTCTTCAATTCGCCAGAGAATTTGACACGTAACCAAACTTCCCTCGAAATTTCTCCATTAAATTTAGCAGGAAACTGACGCCAAAGGACCTGTCATAACGAAGTAAGGTAGTAATGCGAAGCGACAAAGGAACGTCACGTCCCGTCAAATAGTGCAATGTCAATGTTTCTTTTAAATTAGGGAGAAATGTTTTCGTTGCGGCAGGTCACGTGACCTTTCGTCACGCTGTCAAATAGGGGTGTCACGCAATGGCATGACGTCACATGACGTCGGCTCACCTGAGAACAATTTTCCCGCTAAATTTACCGAGTTAATACACGGACAAAGAAACGGACGGACGAACAGAATCCTGGAATTAGGAGTGTCGTTGAAAAGCTTTCCGTGGATTCAAATCTGGAGCATTGTTCAGGTGGTCCCGCTTTTTCCAGAGTACCGGTAGATTAACACATGTGAGGATCGAACAAGTTCCTGGTTGACGGCGACAGTTAATACAGCTTTAGCAGCGTCTGGGTTGCAGGCCGTAAAACATTATTCAAATGGAAAATTATTTTATTGCTCTATACTTTCTAATGAATAATGAAATGTTAGCTCCCTTTCTCAAATCCTCTGCTCGGGTACGTCGGAGTAAGTGTATAAAATGTCTGCGTGTGAGGATGAAAGCAGATTCAACTGAGATTTGGTTTCGAAGAAATCACAATGAAGACTTTATTCATGATGGCTCCCATTATCACGCTTATACTTGGTCTGCAAGGCGTGGTGGTACAAGGTATGTGCATTTATATTTTTTAAACACGTATGTTGTTCGTCGATAGGCTAGTGATTTATTTTGCGAATTGACACCAGCGTCTATAATCAATTTCAATTTCAGAAACGCAGCCCGTGACAAGTCCTAAACATTTTATTATTGCTCCTCACCCAATGATACTCCGGCATTAGCCTTTAGGAACGCCGAGAATGAATGACAGAGAGAAAACTTTGGATAAAAATGCAATGCACAGCATTTCATAAGCTTTCAGTCCCATCCCCAAGCCGAATGGGAGCTTTTGTCTCAGAATGCTTGCTGCTCATCCTAATGAACAACACTCGACCTTGGCCATTTGCAATAATTTGCTTCGCTGATGCGCATGGTATTCACAAAGTTCACGGTATTCGCGAGGAAACACTGTCTAAACGCTGTGAGATGTGACGCGGATTGCAGTGAAGCCTCTAATGTGTTTACGAAGCCCAAAAGAAAAAAGATTTTTCCCGATGATGAGTAACTCTGAGCACTATTTGTTCACCAGGCTCCGAGAATGCACCCACAACAGAGGCTTGCGGCGAAGGAGAAGTTTGGAAAAACTGTGTCGGGGGCTCATGTGCCGAGCTCACCTGCGAACACCCCAAACCTCCGAATGGATGCACCAAGGACTGCAACTACGGTTGCTACTGTGGCGAGGGCTACTACTGGAACTCCCAGGAACAATGCGTCGCGAAGGAACAGTGTACTTGAAAGCTAGGTTGTCTATTACGGCTATTGCGGCTGTTGCTATTAAGGGACAAATAAATTTGCAAATAAACGTTGCATGCTCACTTGGAACATTTTCGGTGAGAGTCTGCACTCGTCAGCAACAAGGCCCACTTCAACGGAGCAGATATCCGGGCGGTCACTGTGCACCTTGATCTATAAAGGTATAAGAGTGTGTAAGGATCATTTATTTTTATACGTACCTTGCGTTTATGAAGTTGTAGACCATTTCAGATTTACAAGCGTAGCCTGTTGATGTCATAATTTCCAAAGACGGTGAAGTTGTCTACATAAATCACGAAGTTCTGAATTGAGCAAGGTCCTTATGCTGTGCTATTCAACATCTAAGAGGATATTGGTCGTTTTACACGGAAATAAAATAAATAACTTCGTAACCGGTCCTTTAGGTTACCACACGGAGAACTGGTTATAACATATCCACTGAACGTTGCAAGAAGCGTTGCTACAGTGGGTATCGTTTTTCCTCTAATGTACTAAAATTTTTTGGTGACGCGAAACGCAACAGGGCCTCCTTTCGTCACGTTTAGAACGAATCTAAAAGAAAAGCTGTAACCTAACTCCTTGGACTATATTGACACGGTTTACAAGATACGTCTACGAAAAATGCACAAAGAGCAGAAATGTTTAGCATCCGATTGGACGGTTTAAGTTTTATAGCGAGATGATGCATTCTTATAATCTGAAATTAAACAGCCAGTCTATGTGATGGTCGAAAAGTTACAGAACCAACAAATTTTGATGATGGGTGGAGGTGATAATTTTGTGTACGCAATATTTCTAGACATCGCTTGATTAAGGCTGGCCAATTGAAGCCCATTGAATAAGGCGTTATCATGTGATGTAATAGTTGTTAACTTGAATTGATTTCGCGGCCACCCAAGCTGATATCTTGAAGAATTTGTCGAACTATGGTTTCAAATGTTTCACCACAATTCACATGTGAACAAATATCAAAGTGGCAGCTTCTAAGTTTTGCAGGGTGCTGCGTGTGGGATCCACACGGTCAGACTTTTGAACTAGTTATACGATGTCAAATTCTAAAGTCTAGAATGTCAAAAACTTCAAGTTAGTAAGACCTGCCACTAAACTCTCTCCGGAGTAAGGGTGCATGAAAGACCAGTTCATTATCGATACAAGAAAGGTCTGCTTTCAATGCGTGGCTGATGCCCAGAAGGGCAATTTTAAATTCAGGCTCATCCCAATCCCAAAGAGGGAACCTTAGGGGGATTTCTGCAGCTGATCATGAGATATATCAGAAGTCGATCGAAGTTGGTTGAATTGTGGGCGGTATAGGAAGTCGGGCTATGCAACGATGTGAGTACTTTCTCAACAATTACGAAAGACTTCAAACAACATTATCTGCGCCTCTGTAATTTTCTCTTTGTCTTTACATAAATATCAAGGCGCAAACGTAAATCATGATCTCTCTTGTTCATCCCTTATAAAGAACGTCACTAAAAGAAGCTATCTGCGTCCATGGCGATCTACGATTTAATTTTCAGCTAGTCTTGTCTTTCCCCTATAAAGAACTACGAGCCCATCACAATTTTAGTTCTACCAAAACAAGAATATGCATATGTAGCTTGGGACTTCTATCAATCTAATTGCCGTAAGAAAATCGAAACACTAATCTACTCGAACTACACACACACACACACACACGCTCACACACATTATATATATATATATATATATATATATATATATATACCCGCCGAAAGCCAAAATAACTGGCGGAGCCAGGATCCTGGCTCCGAATTAAAGTTTTCTGCAACCCGCCGAAAGCCAAAATAACGGCGGAGCCAGGGTCCTGGCTCCGCCGTTATTTTGGCTTTCGGCGGGTATATATATATATATATATATATATATATATATATATATATATATATATATATATATATATATATAATGTTTGTGAGCGTGTGCGCGTGTGTGTGTGTAGTATGTCTTATATATATATTTATATATACAACGGGCATGGTGGCGGGAGGCCGAAGGCGTGGGTATATAACTGAGAAGGAAAAGACCCTTGGTGAAACAGCAACAAGGGACGATTTATTCTTCGACGTTTAAGGCCTGGAGTCCGGCCGAAACGTCGAAGAATAAATCGACCGTTGTTGCTGTTTTCACCAAGGGTTTTCTTCTTCTAGGTTATATATATATATACTACAGTAGCGTCACTAAACGGAAATCTTAAACGAATGTACCACACACTGAAAGACCGCTCTTTATTTCCAGACTGTCGCCGCTATTTGAAAACTATTATTATGCCAGGACATTGCATCTCATTTTGCATCTGTCGCCAGAAAGCTGTTTATCCACCGTGTTTTCGTACTTCTGTTCAATCCAGTTAGTTCTTCTTCTAGACAACAAAGTAGAGGAATGACCTGCCCTACAACGCCGTGCTTCACTCCGACAATACGCTGCACAAGACAAGCGTCGAGCAATCCACTGTCTAATGTTTTAACCGATAGACAATTTACGAGACTTTTGATAACAATATATAAATAAAATATATAAACCGCGAACTCCTCTTAAGTCATTGTCATCCCGAAAAGTGGTTTAAGAGATCTCCACAAAAAAGCAATTATGTCGCACTGCTTTTTAAAAAATGATAGCAATCAGCATGACTTTCCTCAGTAGGGATACGTATATGGTTCTCAAAAGATATCGATGACCGCGTCAGGCGGCAAGGGATCAAGTGTGTTCAAATTGCCTTTCTCGAGACTACCAGGAGGTTGGCTAAAAGTCGCAAGTAGTATCTTGTGCAGCAGGGTCAAAACAGTCGGTGCACATGGATGCATGATCCTCGGAACTGTCAAGAGAGTAACGTTAAAACCTTCTTGGTGACACGCATCAACCTTCTGTATTATCATTGGACAGTCACGCTGAGGCAGACAGGTCTAGATGAGAAGTGCAAGCTTAAGCGCAAGGTCATGCCTCATGCTCGAACCGTCTTATCGCTCAGCTCGCCTTGATCACGCTTATAAGGTTGGCATACCAAGTTACAACACTAACGCATTCAGTATGTCATTCATACCTCGTACGTCAACAGATTGGAACCACCTTCCCGCTTCAATTGCCTCCATCACTGACGTTTCTCTTTTTAAACAAGCACTTGGTAACAGCACCCTCAGTTGACTGATTTAATTGCCATCATTTTTTTGTGTTCACTCCCCTCTGAAATGTACTATGTACCTTGAAGGTAAATAAATAAATATACTTGGCCATACAAGGTCAAGCAATCCGGAACAAGGAGGTGGGACCCTCCGAAAACGGGAGTAACAGTCGTCTTCATAAAGCGTCTTGACAAACGCGTGACCAATGTTTGAGCACTACGAAGGCACGTGATAGTCGGATACTCCTTCCTGATCTTGAACCATGCCTTGATAGAATGTTGCAGTATGACGGGGCGAGATCGGTAGCCGAGTGGCTTAGCGCACAACAGCTCGGAGCGCGTGAAGCGAAATCTCGCTCTGAAAACCTTTGGTATAGAAAGTTCAATACCCACCCCTACCCTCTTTGATCTGGATGAGCAATTTAGCTACCTGTGGTCGTATATTACTACTGAATTATTCATGTGAAAATTTCAAGGCTAGCAGTCGTACTGCACAAGAAACATTTTTTATCAACAGCTGAAGCTGCACAGATCTATTGGGGATGAATGAATTCCGGTTGTCCAAACATACCCACAGCATATAATTATTAATACATAACTTAGTAATAATACATAAGCCTCTTAAATCCTCAGGTGCATTTTTGAATCAAAGATTAGGTTATGGTTGAAGTGAGTCATAAGTACAAAAGGACTTTGGAAGTAGGTTGCGACAACGGAATCTGAATGCCAGCCACTTGGGGAGCTTGAAGAAAATTCCTACTCCGTTTCTAGCGTCAGGGACGGGATGTTCCTCAGCTTGGCTCACATATCCGTTTGCTGTATGGAGTGACAGGAAGTAACCTCGTTGTATGTGGTTGTCTGGTGATTGTGTGACCGTCCCACACTTTCAGGTTTGGGTCGACAAAAAACAAGGCCTCTGTCTCATTATCGATGAACTGAATAAAAGAAATTGAACATATGCTTAGAATCAAACCACCACCCCTGGACGATTATCTCAATTTTCTGAAGGGCACGAGTGTTGGACTTTTGTCCATAAGGTTTAAACTCGAAAATTGCATTAAGTCTCACTACCTTTACGGACGGCGCTTAAATGGGTAACAGGACACCACGTGGTTTGCTTTTCAATCGTAGGGTCCGCTTCTCTGCAGGAAGTAAGCAGACAAACTCGTTCTCAAGTCGAACCTCGGTCACTTCTCGGTATATGATTTTTAAATATTAGCCAATAAAATACTGCGTTAGACAGTTGCTTCAAGTGTCATGCCAAGGTTCCTGAGGTGTTTTTTTTATATGGAAAACATTGGCTTCTTTGTTTGACTACAGCGCAAAGATTTACCAAGTTTACGTTTCAGTACCAAAGTACGCCTGTTGCCAAGCGATAATCAACATATTTTTATTTGATGATAAATTTATACCTTTGATAACTTTTCATCTAATGTTTTATATATGCAAACAAAGTATAGAAGAAGAATTGACATTTCTTTTAACCCTGCAGAGTGGGAAAACAGAAGGACCGAATAACACGAGACTAAGCTGTGGTTTATTTCATAATACAGAGCCGCAAATAAACCATATAAATTCTTATTATAGTATTCATATTATTCAATATACGTCATAAAAATTATAAAGACGTCAGTTTTCTACACTAGAGAGTTTTGATGTAACATCTCCCTTATTTGTATTTAGTGACTGTCCACCCTACTCACATGACTTCAAGGTTTAACTCGCACGATTTAAAACCAATTTTAAATCCGAATTGTCTTGTATTCGCAAACATTAAATGTTCGATGTGTTCATGCAATTGCCTTTAATCGTGCATGTTTCCATGCGCCCTCGAAATGAAGAGGCGCCACCCGTAAAACATTTGTTTATGACTT